TAGCAAAACAAATCACCACGAATGGAATGTAACACTCGATTTTATTTCAATAATAAAAAAAAAAGACACCATCTTATTAGGATATTTGTATAGACTTTAAACTAAATTAGTATTTTTTTGTTCAAAAAATAAATAAATTGGTATTTGAATGCTATTAAGCTTGTGACCCTAAAATGGCACCATTAAGTCATTAACACAATTATGAAGCAACACAAACGAATAAAAAGAAGGTCACAGTCATCTTACTTTGATATAGATAAGCGTCCATGTAGCACACATACGGTTTGATAAAAGAATATTTAAAATTAAAATAACTAAAGAGTACATAATTTAATGATCAACGAATATAGATCTTTTTTTCTAGACAACAATAAAAAACTAAACCATACGCTTTTTCGATTTGGTAAACCAAACCGGAAGAATAAAATCGACATAGAACATAGAAGAAGGAGAACACCTATCATCACGTGCAAACTTTTCCGTCACTGAATTATGAGCTCTCGAAACATGTCGGATATGGAAAGTACGAAAGAAAGACTTACTATGCTGGAACTCTTCCAAATAAGTACGAACATCTTCACCAGTTGAGAAAATTCTGTTTCAAAAACTACGTCTGACAAATTATGGGTCTTCATGCACTCTATATTCCATATCAAAGATTTACATTCAGCATGTAAAGCGGATAAGCTTCTTCGTAGATTCATCGCCCCCATCAACTTCTCTTCTGAAAACCTTGGCTTGAGAACTTATCTTGTGCCCTCCATGCACAAAACAAACTCTGGACTGCAGTAATGTAAACCAATCCTGTGCCAACAAAAGTGCCGGGTGTGTTCCGGCCTCTAGAAGTTGAGCATCCCCCCCCCCACACCTCCCATCCACTTCTGCTATCCGAAGAATTTAATGCGGATTACCTTGTCTTCCGTTATAAATTTTATTATTGATGTTCTTCCAGATATACCACAAAATCCAAAGAAAATAGGTAAAATCATAATCCTTTGGTAGTCTTCAAAATAAATTAGCCATACTAGTGAACACTGATAGGGTTGGTAAACATCCAAGGGAGAAGGTATTTTCGATAAAACCCAAATTTGTAAAACTGGAGGACATTGAAAAATAACATGATTGATGGATTCATTTTCTGCACCACACAAATTACATCTTGGATCAAACTCAATACCTCATGATCTCTAATTCTTTGCTACCGTAATAATACCCTTCAAAACTTGCCAAATAAAATGTTTCAATTTTGGCGAACATAGTTTCCAAGTGTAGTGCAATAAGAGATTAATATTTGGTCCATAAATAACCTTTGGTAAATCTTTATCGAGGTATAAAGTCTCTGTCTTATATCATGATTTTACCGTACCAGTCTCTGTAAATGTCCAACCATAAGAATCTGACCTTTGAAACCGGCTGATAGCCAGACTTTTAATGATCTTTACATCATCTGGATGTATGTATGCATTAAGCAGCTATATATTCCAGGAAGACGTAACCGGGTTGATGAGATGTTCCACCTTCAAAGAAGGATTAAGGAACTGGGGTGAATTTTTTGGGTTTGCTAACCTTGGGCGAGGAGCCGGGATCCACAGATCATTCCATACGGCGAGGGATTATCTATTTTCGACTCTTTTGATTAGCGTTTTTAAACCAGAGATCTAGCTGAGCAGATATTTCTCCAGCCATAATATGGTGAATAAGATCTATGTGAGTCCAAAGGATATGTGTTCCAAAAATACCGACCTTTGAACACTTTTGAGAATAGACAGTTGGGTTTATTGATTAAGCGCCATAGCTGCTTTGCCAGTAAAGCAGTATTCAAATCTTGAATATCACGGAAGCTCAAGTTAATTTCATCCTTTTGTTTACACACTTTATCCCAAGAAAACCAATGAATACCTCTCTTATTTCCATTGCCACCCCACCAAAAATGAGAAATGACAATAGTAATTTTCTTTGTTGCCGTCTTAGGTATTCTATAACATGACATAACATGATTCGACATGACGAAGCAACCAATTTTATCATGACTTCTTTTCCGCCCTTAGTAAGAAATCTTACCGTCCAGCTATTTACCTTCTAATTAATCCTTTCATTCACATACCCAAATACCTGGACCTTAGATCCCCCTAAATTTTCCGTTATACCCAAATAATTTCCCATACCTCCTAGTGTAGATCAACTAATGAAATGTACAAATTTTATGTATTTCCTACCCTTTCCAGTAAACATGTTACAAGTAAATATTTACAAAATAAACGAATAATTACTGTAAACCCATACAATATTTTTACAAAACAAAAACCAGTTATTCAACCATTGAAAACGTGTTAACTTCTTGAAATATGTTAGCCAACATTTCTTCTCCAGTTCGACTTATTTTTAGAATTCAACTTCACCAGTATTATATACTATAAATAATCTTAGAAATATACAAAATAGCTCATATCAAGATTTTTTTTTTAAATTTCTTTATATGTACTAGGATTCAGAAAATATTGAATTCCCACTTACACAAGAAAATTGTTGATAAAACTCTGAAACAACATTTCCCCACATTTGCTTATTCCTAAGTGTTAGAACCGAGTTCGTTCGAAAACGAGTAAGAGGAAACGGAATTCGTTAGTGGATTATTTCAAAGATGTGTTTTAGGTTTAAACAAGAGAAAATAATATTATTATAATCAGAAAATAGTACAAAAGAAGATGCTGGTGCTCGGAGAGCTAGCTGCAAAAGTACAGATCGGCGAGATTACAAAAGGTAAATATAAATCTTAATTTTCTAGCCGCCTAGTGTGTGTCTGGTTTCGGATCCCTTGTCATGTCCTTCTTCCTTCGACCTTTATAGGCTGCTTCTCTTTTGTCAGTCTTTGTACACGGACAAACCTAATGGACCGTCTCCTTTCTGATGGTCCTCATCGGCTCTGAGCATGTTCGCCGGCTGGGAACAATGGCTCCTTCCCAGTCATTCAGACTGTATTAATGGACCAAACTATTTATTCAATGAGCCTTGTGGAAGGACAAAATTTATTTCCCGTACTATGGATGACCTTTTGCAATTAATTCCTCATGCAATGCAAAACATTTTTTAAAAAAGCATCCACCCTTAACATAACTACCAGATATCACTTCCAAACACAAAGCTAATACACAAGCAACAAGAACCAAGAAAATTCTTGTAATCTAAATAACAAGTAAGGTATATCCTACGCAGAGTGTGGCCCGACTACTAGTTGTTTTAGAGCATCTTCAACTCCACTCCATAATTTACTGTAAAATGGAGTGGAAAATGAAGTGATGAAGACACAAAAAATGATTACTCCATAAATGGAAATAATGGATCTTTTGTTTTCATCAGTTTATTTTTTACTCTATTTTGCAGTAAATTATAGAGTAGGGTGATTGATTTGCGAGCACTTGACCTTTAGCTTTTCTTGATTAGTTCCCGGTTTATGTGAAACCCGCAACTCTATGTAAAGCCCAAAGTCGCTATAATAAATATGGCCTTGAAATTACCGGAGGCCCAAAGTCTCCATTGTACATTTTAAAGTTTTAGGGTTTCTGAAAAGTTCCACTATAAATTCTGTTTCTTTAAGCTTCGGTTGATAGCAGACGACGGCACACAAGCTTCTTCTCCGGAGAGTATCAGAAGAGCGAAAATGGTAACTGTTTCGTCCCTTTTGAATTGATTTTTGTATTCGCTGAGGAACTTGTTTTGATTTCTTATCAGTTCTGGTTAAGTCTTGTCAGGAAGAATTAGACATGGTAGATAGATTTATTCGTTTTTCAGATCTGTAGTTTGAGTTTTCTCTCCGACCAAACTGTTCCAAGAGGCCTTTTTGGTGAAATAGAGATTGCAAGTTTCATTATTTGCCGTCTTGATTTTTAAACTTTGAGAATAATTATTGAGTTGATTTGTAAAGCGAGTCATAAAAAGATCTTCAATTTTATAACGTTTGTATTAACCTCGAATGTCTTATGTTTTTGTATGTGTCGAAATGATGTCTTGTGTTTAGTTGAACTAACGATGCTTTTGTGTTTGTGAAATTGAAAGGTGAACATTCCCAAGACAAAGAAGACCTACTGCAAGAACAAGGAATGCAAGAAGCATACCTTGCACAAGGTGACCCAATACAAGAAGGGTAAAGACAGTCTCGCTGCTCAAGGAAAGCGTCGTTATGACCGTAAGCAATCTGGTTATGGTGGTCAGACTAAGCCTGTCTTCCACAAGAAGGTATACGCTGATATCTCTTCTTACAGCTTGTTTATCTTTTTGAATTAGGCCTAGTGTATCCTCAACTCTAAGTGTAGGACTATATAGCTTATATTAGTAGCTACTGAACTTATCTTTGGCTCTATACTTTTCTCCAACTCTTTAATAAAGACTTGAGTGATAGTCAAATATCCAATAGAATCAGTTTTTTTTTTTGGCGCTGAGACTCATTCTTGTTTTATAATTTAACAGGCTAAGACCACCAAGAAGATTGTCTTGAGGCTTCAGTGCCAAACCTGCAAGCACTTTTCTCAGCATTCCATCAAGGTAATATTGAGAACCGTCTTCTTCATACATCAATTCTTTATAACCACTTGTTAGTTGTTCTTACATTGTGTCGATCTTTTCTCTTTGATATTTCAGAGGTGCAAGCATTTTGAGATCGGTGGAGACAAGAAGGGGAAGGGAACATCACTTTTCTAAGCTGGTCTCATCTTAAGCTTTTCAAGTTTTGTACTTGGTCGAATCTTGATTTCATCTGTTTTAGCTCTCGTATAAGAAGATTGTTTCTCATCTGCTCTTGTTGACTCGTTCTATATTTTCTATCATCAAGATATGGTTTTTCTGTTTATCATTGCATTTTATCAGCCAATACAAATCTAAGTATATCTTGCAATCCAGTTTAAATCGATAGTTTCGTTACACAAAATATTCATTCCATTATAAAATACTTGTGTAATACCTCAATACCATTTGAAGAAGACTCATGAGCTCGTTACAGCAATGTGGAAATTAATCAAAAACCCTCTAATCCTATAATAAATACTGAAGCATGATCGAGATATGGTTTTGGTTTCACTAAGCAGGACTCTCATCTCGTTATAAAATACCTGTATATATTGAAATACCAAGCTATGGTTTTGGTTTCACAAGCAGGACATTCATTTTCACTATAAAATACTTCAATTATTGTTTGAAAGATTTGCACAAAACTCATAAGGCGGCTGCTCCAACAAGCAGAAAGTACTTAAATCTTTACATGTCAAACCTCTTTTCGACTTGAGCAATAACAAACACCCTAAGTTCACCTCTGTCCCCACGAGTAATGCGCATGTTCTCGTCAACAAAGGTGACTTCAAAATCTCCAGTCCCAGGGTTTGACGGTGGCCTGAAACTGTCAGGAAGCCTCGGGATCTCAAAGGGAGGAATCTGCGCCAAGTTTCCGGAGGTCTTCACAGTAGTTTTCTCAAATGTGATCTTGATCTTGCAAGTACCTGTTCTCCCATAATAATACCAAACATGCAGATTGACCTTAGCTCTTAACACACAACCAGTGATAATCTATCAAGAAAGAGAGGGAGAGGCAAGAAACCTAAGAGTTCAAATTTGTGTGCCAATGTGGCAGTGGCTTCAAGAGGCGGTAACGGCCATGGAGCTCCTATCTCCACTTCGGCTATGTTATCGAAATCTTTGCTAAACACATCAATCCTCTGAAACACCTACATTTTTCAATACAGATGGTTTGTAATCAGAATAAGAAAAATTAAAGCTCATCACAACTCAATCTTCAACCAAAAGAAGTAATGATAGACCAGACCATGCACAAAACAACTACTAAGAGATGACATTAAAAAGAAAACAAGGCAGGTGATGATAGACCAGGGCATGCACATATATACACAACTACTAATGATATGAAAGACTCATACACAGTAACTAACTAACTAAGTAGAGAGCATACCTGTCCAAGAGTAACAGGAAGCAAACGACCAGTGGGTAGACCAGGACGGCTACCACCTAGAGAACGAGAAGAGAAGGCGCTGCTATACAACAGCCTCCACTTCCCTTGGAGCTTATCAAGACCCTCGGTAAGATCCACTGGCCCACCAGCGGATTCAAGTAGTTTAGCAGCCGTCTCAGCTCTTTGTAGATCATCTACACTCGCCACTAGTCCTCTGTTCAACCCCGATACCACACTCTATACACCACCACCCACATCACATCACATCATTATTCTTACCAAAATTCAAATGATTACTTCCAGGGGCGGATGTAGAAACATTTTTAGCTGGGGTCACAATGTTAAAAATAACAATATGCATTCTGAATGAAGAGTACTTTAGTATATAGAAACACTTTTAGTTGGGGTCACAATGTTAAATGTAACAAAAGAAATTCTGAATTGGGAGTACTATACCTATTTCTTCACTAAACTATGAACAATTCAATCAAATTAACTCATATTACTTAAGAAATTTTTAAAAAGAGTAGGTGTCACGTGACACCGTACCCGGCAACGTCCGTCCGCCCCTGATTACTTCTTAACAACACTCACCAGTAATTTGAGTTTCAGTGATTCGATTCCCTCGTTATCTCCTGATGTCTCCGGTTCGCGAAAGGAGACCTCGCCCACCGTTGCTTTCACGACGAGGCTCCTCTTTTCCGGTAGGGTGAGGGTTAAACGAGACGATCTGGGAGTAGCGATGAGCACTGGCGAGGAGGAAGAAGAGATCGAGTGTCTGACGGAGAAGCATGGCGGTGGAGAGCGGTTGTTGTTAGAGAGAAGAGCCGGTGAGGAGAGAGCAGAGGAAGCCGCCATGAGAGAAGGAAGAAAAGTGTAGAGATGTTTCTAGAGGAGAAGAAGCATCTAATATAATACAAGAATCTCTCTTTGGTTCGTTTATTATTATGTGATTTTAGAGTAACCACGGGTGGACCGTGCAAGCTGTCACGCTTTCTATATACGTGTGTCTATACAAAATGGTATCAGAACCACATTCACATTACAGTTTTCCGAAAACGTTGTCGTTTTTCTCTACCAGACTCGCATTACGTTTTTGGAATCACCCCATTAAATTCTCTGCTCAGAGAAGCCATTACAGTAAATGACATATTTGTGTCTTTTATTTTTCTTTTCGGATCTACCTCTCGTTTTAGCTCAATCTCAGATAGGTTGCATGGAAACTACACCAAAGATTTGTTTCCTGTTTCGAAAACGTTTTGAAATCAAAATTTTTTTGTCAGCTTGAAGAAATTCTTCTTCGTTTCTTAAAATTTCTTTTTGGAAACTTACGATTCTGTTTGAAAACATAAAAAAATAACTATTTACCATCTGATATTAGTGATATACATATTTATCAATTTATATTTTAATATTATTTTTTGATATTTATTATCATCTTGGTATAATGATTTGATATGAAATGAAGTTGGCTCCACATTTTATCGAATGATAACAAGTGTTAGTTTTCTAAATATTGATTAGAATTTCTATAAAATATATAATAAAATAACACTTAAATTACTTAATTTTCTCTTTTAATTTAATCAAACAAAAAAATAAGCTTACATGTTGATTAATCCTATATATATAAATGTTTCTATTACTATTTTCTTTTAAATCACATTTTCGTTTTCATATTTTTTGAAACATTTTGTTTCCACGTATCCGTTTCCTATTGCATGCAACCTATTATCTCAGTGAAAGCTTCGGTCTAGAGGTTTAATAAGTATATGGCTCAATCACTGGAGAATGAGCTTCAAGCAAGGCCTAATTTATCGTGGCCCACGATCATCTTGTTGAGATGTTATAAGAAGTCATTGATCTTTTTCTTTTTCTCTCTCTTTCTCTATTTCTCTTAGTTTTTTTCTGGCAAATATGTTTTGCTCTTCTTATTCTTTTGATAGATACCCAGTGTAAAGGGGAAATGAGAGCCAGGAATATGTCTGAACGGAAGCTAGTAAAGCATCTGCTTGGGGCCTTAGGTTAGATTATATAATTAAGGCGCCAAAAACAATTGAAGAAATATTTTTTTGATCTGTTGGATTTAAGAGTATTTTGTTAGAGGTGAAAGGTTCAACTCTTTTCCATGTACATGTTAATAAATTTCTTTTGTTTATACTAAAGGGCCATACAATTATGGGAAATTGGGCTGTATAGGCAAACAAAAAAGCCTAATTGGCAAAATAGCTAATAACCCTAACAGACAATCACACGCCGTTATATTTCTATATTAATACTATTTTCTCCTTTGCGGCAACCGGTGTAACCTGCACAAAAAAAAAAAATTAAGTTATTTATTAGGTATAAAATTGTAGAACGTGTCTTACCATCAGCCACATCTTCTTTTCACTTATCTAAGTACATTCATAGAAATTAAAACGTCTCTGCTACTGCCTTCGCTTTCCCCTCCTCCTCCATCTCCTTCTCCTCGTATTTCCACTTCTCCTTCGTCGCAATCAATTTTGGCCTCTACTCCGGTGATGAAATCAGCGCAAAGTGAACGGTTGTTACTCTGGAACGGCTTGAGTGAACAATCCGTGTGAAACCAACTTTGCAAAGTCAATTCTTCACCGATCTTTTCAGCCACCGTAAGTTTTCTGCTGTTTATATTCCTTTCTCTTCATCTCTTGTTATTTTCTCTTCTATTTCGTAGTTACTGAGAACTAGGATTCTCTAATTGGTAAATCTATCATGTATTTTATGGATTAAATTACGTATTAAAATTTGACTCTACCTTTCATAGTCTGTTGGGGATGGTGATCTGCTATTAAAATTTGGCTCTATCTATCTATCATGTTTTAGGGTTTGGGTTTCTCTGGTTGTTCATTTTATTTGTTACATCTGGATTTTGCATTTAGGATAGATGCATAGTAAATATTATAGTAATATTATTTGTTGTATGGAATAGCATCTGTAATACAACTTGTATGCGTAAAATTCTTGTCTCCCTGAGATCTCTTATGCCTATTTGATTTGAGATGGAATAGAAAAAACTATATATTCAAACTATTCTATTTGAGATGAAATCGATTGACAAACTATTCTATTTGATATTTACTATGTGCATATTATGCTATATGAATTATGGTTTATAGTTTATTTTAGGGTTTATTGATTTGTATTTTAGGTTTAGTTTATGGAGATTTATAATATATGGATTAGGGTTTATAAAATATTTATGATCTATGAAAATACACAAATTTTCATATCTCTGGATGTTTTTCTATGTTATGTACATTTTTTCCATTCTATACGGAATCAAATGGAAATAATATCAATGTGTATCAGATTTACATGTTCTTATTCTTGCATACGCTTGCCATGTCCGTGATGCAGAACAACCTGGTTAATTATCGCAATAATGATTGTTCGATTAAATTCCTAATGCATTACATTGTTGATTATTAATCCTCTATACTTCATGTTGATGTAAATTTGAATTTGAATAGTATGTACTATTCTATTTCGTTTATTACTATTCTATTTTTGAAAAAAATTAACTATATATTATGTTCAGATTTTGATATTTTTGTTCAGATTTATAGAAAAAAATTTGATTAGTTTCAAAGTTCTGCATTTAGTTTATGGAGACAATGCATTACCTCATTCTCTACAATAATAGACATTTCTTAATTTTAGTAATATGTACTATTTGTTATTTTGTTTGTTACTATTCTATTTTCATAATATTCTATTTTGATAATACTTGATGCTATGTACTATGTGCATATTATGATATATGGATTACGGTTTATAGTTTCTTTTAGGGTTTAGTGATTAGTGTTTAGGTTTAGTTTATGGAAGATTTATGATATAGAGATTAGGGTTTTATAGTTTCTTGTTTGTATTTTTGTTGTTGCATAAGATTGACATTTGGGCTTATTATCCGTGATATAGAACATCTATTACATGTGTAAAGGAACCCTCTATATGTATATTTGTAGATAAATAGTATACTATTATGCGAGATAGAATAGAATTGGAATTTACATAGTACGTCAGTTTATCATCATGCTTACTTTCATGACATCATTGTTATGTACTATGTGCATATTATGATATATGGATTAGGGTTTATAATTTATTTTAGGGTTTATTGATTAGTGTTTAGGTTTAGTTAATGAATGATTTATGATATATGGATTAGAGTTTTATAGTTTCTTGTTCGTCTTCTTGTTGTTGCATAAGATTGATATTTGAGTTTATTATCTGTACAAAACATTTAGTCTATGTGTAAAGGAACCACCTATATGTATATTTGTAGATAAATAGTATAATGTTATTTAACACTACTCCATCTAGGATAAAATATAATAGAAATCTACATAGTACGTCAGTTTACCATCATGCTTAGTTTCATGACATCATTGTTTACCTTATCATTACTCACTATTTTTCCTTATTTTTTATTGTGCTAGGTTTGAGATGGACGAGTTAGGCCTTCCAAATAGATTGTTCGAGACAGGGTTTGAACCCACTGGAAATAAAAGGGTTAACATTATTTCAACCTCTGTTGATTTGAGATGATAAATGATGCATTGTCAGATACACTGATATTTTGTCGCTGTGAATGACCTAAGTTGGTCGGCGAAGATGAATTTTTTTGTTTATTTTGTTTTATTCTATTCACATATAGAATAGAAATATAAAACAATATGTATTATGTTTGTTCTATTCATGTTATGAAATGTGATATATTCTGCTACTGTTTTGTTTATCATGTTCCATTCCATTTATGATTACTAAAGAGTGTTTTAGTTGGATTCCATACTATTTTGGCCATATGGAATAGAACACTGAAAATGTTAGCTGCTCTATAGATTGCAACTACATTAACAATGTTTTCATGCTATCTACCTTACATGGAATGGAAATAAATATTTTCTTATCTCGGTTCTATATCGTACAGTTTACATGTAACTTAACCCTTAATACTAGTATACTAGTATTTTACATTTTTCCGATTTTTGATATTTATATTTGGGTTTATATTTCCATGATTGGGTTTATATTTAGTTGATAAAGTTTAGTTTACTGGCGTCTGAGGTTGTCATTTGAAAAGTATTGAATACTTACAATACATATATTTTGGCATGTAATATGTGAACTATGCTATTTATCTATATGGAATAGCAACTTCAATAAAGTTATACTATCTTACCATATATAATAGCAATTCATATAACTTTTTTGTCTGTTACGTTAACATAATTTGTGTAACGTGTACAATTATTATCCACTCTTGTCATAGTATTCTCTTACATCTTATGGTAATGTTTAGTATTCAAAAAGTGTGAATGGAGTTATAATTATATACTATTTCGGCCATATGAAATAGAACACTGAAAATGTTAGCTGCTCTTTAGATTGCAACTACATTGACAATGTTTTCATGCTATTTACCTTACATGGAATGGAAATAAATATTTTCTTATCTCGGTTCTATATCGTACGGTTTACATGTAACTTAACCCTTAATACTAGTATACTAGTATTTTACATTTTCCGATTTTTGATATTCAGATTTGGGTTTATATTTCCATGATTGAGTTTATATTTAGTTGATAAAGTTTAGTTTACTGGCGTCTGAGGTTGTCATTTGAAAAGTATTGAATACTTACAATACATATATTTTGACATGTAATATGTGAACTATGCTATTTACCTATATGGAATAGCAACTTCAATAAAGGTATACTATCTTACCATATATAATAGCAATTCATATAACTTTTATGTCTGTTATGTTAACATAATTTGTGTAACGTGTACAATTATTATCCACTCTTGTCATAGTATTCTCTTACATCTTATGGTAATGTTTAGTATTCAGAAAATGTGAATGGATTTATAATTATATACTATTTCGGCCATATGGAATAGAACA